AATGCATCACAAGAATATTTCATTATCGACTTTTATGGAGCATAAAACATGGCTTCTACATCAATGAGACTCAGTTATTTGAAATCTCTTCTTATTCAAAAAAAATTGCCCATAACAAATTCAAGCGAAGTAGGCTTCCTTACGAATATCTCTGTTTCTCCAAATTGCGTTCCCATTGCATCCACTTATCAAAACAGTGTTGCCACAGATGTAGAAGGCTCTTTACTAAACTCTAGTAAACAATCATCCATCTTCACTTTTAACAACAGTTCAGCTTCCATGGTCCCTCAGCATGCCTTTGCGGAGTTAAAGTTAAATTTGTGTAATCTGTAAATGTTTAGTGCTGCATGTCTTTACAAGGAGTTGGACTTCTGTTTTTTATTGATGATGGATTGATTGATGATGATACAAAGTTATATAGAAGAATAATGGTTGAGACGATGCAACTACCGGAAGGAGGATTCATATTTCAACAGGATGCCGCAGCATCCCACACCACTCGAACTGCCATGGTTTGCAGAAATAAATATACCTGTTTTAAAATGGCCTTCAAGAAGGCCTGCATTTTTGTCCAATTGAGACTCAATGGCACCAAATGAGAAAAGCACTCCGAACTTCTCCACTATTCCGGAACAAAGGCAACTAAGGAAATTTGGGATAACTTTCAACCCGAACAGTGTAAAACTTTAGTTAACAATATGCAGAAGACAATCGAATTAGTTCACAAATGCAACAATAGGTTAATATTTCATCTTTGTCCAATTCATTTGCGATTGGACTCGTAATAAAAGCTCATTAAATATACTCGAATATAAAAAAAATTAAAAATTCAAGTTAAAATGGAATGAAACTAAAATAAATAACATATAAACTTTAAATAAAACTTCAACTGTAAATAACTCAAAAACAATTGAGAATAGAGCAAATATGACAAAACTTGTCGAAATTTAATAATATTTGTTCCGTTAAGACAAAAAGACATTTTTGGAATAATTTTGAGTACTTTGGGCATTTTTGGACGAAAACCACTACAATGTTTGTATTAAAACCTTTTCTTTTTTCTAAAGCTTATAGTTACGGCTTTTGATGGAACAAAAATGATAGCTGTTAGGTAATATAGTGACCCTACTGCGGTAAAAATTAATGCGCCTGATGACGGCTATGATATTTTCTTAGAGATGATGATTCAATGGGATTTGTCAGCGGCCATGTAGGTTGTTGAATGCCGCAGGGTTATTGGTTAAAAACGAAAGTCAAAATGTCGCGTATGCGCATGTTGAATTTAATTTTTTCAAAGTTTTTTCATAGTTGCTTCATATTATAAGCATTTTCAGGGCCTCTAGTAACTATATGTTTGGTACTCTTTGCATGTAGAAACACTAGAAATATTAATTAATTATTTTGGCAAATATTTGATGTTACAGTTGATGTAAAATATTCTTAAAATTTTCGATATACCAGAAGGCAACGAAACTACTGTCCACAACGGCATTTTAAAAATATTTAATTTGTAAGTTGATATGGCTGAATATTATGAACATTTGTAGCATAAAAACAATTAATGTAGTTTGCAGTTTCGCCGTCAGTAATCTCAACTTTGTTCTTTAAATGGTACACCCTATGTATTCATTTTTTTTATTTCGCTAAACAATTCTAAACAACTTTTGTATATCACCATTCATTTCTAAAATCAGTAAAATAAAGTACAATAAAAATATCTTAGAATGTGACATAATTTTGAACGGCTTTATTTAAAAAACTATTGATTTATGACATACGGTATGTTAAACAAAAATTTGTTTAGAATTGTTTAGCCAATTTAAAAAATTAAAAATATACGTGGTGTTTCATTTAAAATAGCAAAGTTGAGGTTATTTCCGTTTTTATGGTACAAATATTGTAAATTTTTCTCCTTTCCTTTCCCTTTTTCATTAGATTATCTTCAAATTCAATATCTTGATTTTTGAATACGAATTTATAATCTTGGTCTAAAATTGCTTATAAGGGGTGTTTTTTTTCGATGTATAGAACTTCAAGTTGCAATAAAACAACGATGGATTATTCGATTGACATGAATTTTATTTATCCGAAAGATAATCTTGTGGCATTACATTTTAAATATGATTTCTGTCATATGACCGCCACAGCTGGCGTGTATGTAGTTCAATCTCGACGTCCAATTTTCGATGACTTTTTCCAACATTTGTGGCCGTATATCGGCAATAACACATGACCAATGACTTTACATAGTCCCACAGAAAGTAGTCTAGCGGTGTTAAATCAAAAGATCTTGGAGGCCAATTCACAGGTCCAAAACGTGAAATTAGGCGGTCATCAAACGTGCCTTTCAACAAATCGATTGTAGCACGAGCTGTGTGACCTGTTGCGCCATCTTGTTGAAACCACATATCCTGGACATCATAGTTATTCAATTCAGGAATGAAAGATTTAGTAATCATAGCTCTATACCGATCACCATTGACTCTAACGTTTTTGAAGAAGTACGGACCAATGATTCCACCAGCCCACAAAGCGCACCAAACAGTCAGTTTTTCTGGATGTAACGGTGTTTCGACATACACTTGAGGATTAGCTTCGCTCCAAAGGAAGCAGTTTTGTTTGTTGACTTAGCCATTCAACCAGAAGTGCGCTTCATCGCTAAATAAAATTCGCTTATGAAAATCGGAAACAACGGCAATCTCGTTTTGGTTAGTTTCGACGAATCTACGCCTTACTTGATGATCGTTTGGCTTCAATTCTTGCACAAGTTGGATTTTGTAAGCACGTAAACCAAGATCCTTCCGCAAAATCTTCCATAAAGTGGATGGACACAGGTCCAATTCCTGTGCTCGATGGCGGATGGACTCATTCGGGTCTTCCTCAATGCTACGGTCTACAGCAGCAATAGCTTCTTCTGTACGCACCGTACGGAGTCACTGGGGATGCGATTTATCAATAAGAGTAAACATGGTTAATCGAATTTACTGCTCTCCGATGGACGATTTTGTCGACGATAAAATGGACTTAGTGCGCGATACGTATTCCGCACAGAACCCATTATTTTAGAAATAAAATTGCACTATTTGCAAGCGTTGTTCAGGCGTGAGTGTATGCATGATGAATTGCCAAACCAAACTGACAAAAAAATTACTTGACAGCTGTTAAATCGGTCGCCATCTTGAAATGTAATGCCAACTTAAAGTTCTATACATCGAAAAAAAACACCCATTACTTGTCAAAATTGGCGTCTTCGGGCATTAGAATAACGCAAACCTTTATAAACCATCAGATATCGACGTAAAACCCCCTGTATAAGTAAAAGAGTTGCCAATTTCGATAAGATCCCTGTCAGAATCTGCTTTTTCGCCTCTTAATGCACCCAAATCAACCCTAGAAAAGCAGATATGTACTTAAAACCCCTCTTTTTGGGACAAATAAATGGTTTTCGCTCTTGATTCCGAGTAGATTATAGTCAAAATCTGCATTTTCATAACTTATCGGACTCAAATCTATATTAAAACTGCAGATAACTACTTGAAAACCCACTTTCTTGGATTAATAGTAGGTTTTTCTTCCATTTTCAAGCAGATTTAAATTAAAAGCTCATAAATAATTGCGGTTTTATTTTTATAAATATTAAAAAGAAACCACAAACTCGTTCTCTGTATCTGACGTTCTAGTGCTTGGTGCTGAGAGTGAAACAGGAAAGCACCGCTTTACATTTACAAAAGTTGCACAACTTTCTTTTGCGCTCTTCCAGCTTCAAAAGTCACACGTAAACAATATTACGCAATAATTTTTATAAACACTTTAGTCACGATTTTATTTTGGCACGGGCGGAGCAAGTATTTAATAAACTTGGAGAGGAGGGGAAAGAAGAATATTTGCTCTGAAACGTTTATGGAAGAAGGGCATCTGACAGTTCGCAAAAAGCCATAAATTCTTTGAAAATTTTTGGTATCTTGCGCGGAAATATCCGACATCGTTTGCGTTTGATCTCGTGTGAAAGTGCGGTGGAAAAAAATTATTTTTGCAACATTCTGACAGACAATACACCGCGCAGATGTCCAAATTGATTATTTTCGTTTCGCACTTGTTCGGCAGCCAGAGGATGCGCGTGTTTGAAAAATCCCGAGATCCGTTATTAGAACTTCAAAAAACCTCGTAAAGAGAGACGGAAAACAATAAAGACAGTAATAAATTAGCGCCGCCTAATTTGTTTATAATAATTCACTCGCAGTTTACAGTGTGTACCGCGTCAATTTCCCTGCGTGGCAGGAATATCTGTCACCCACTTATCATATCTTGTTTATCTCTTGTTTGTGTTCGTCAGGCTATACTTCGAGTACTCGACGTTGGGCTGACTGATGCCTCATTTTAGTGAAAATCGACGGGTAGTGAATGATATGCGGGGGGATTAAAATTTGGCTCGCTTGAGCGCAAGAAATACGATTCTGATAACTAATCTTAACCGCACAATTTTTAATGCAGAGGCTTTTTTTTTGAAAAAAGCATCGGAAAAAAGAACAATGAAGCACATATCGCACATTCCAAAGAAAACTGTATTAAGTGACTAATTAACAATTTTATAGGAGGAGCATTTAAAGAATTGATATAATACATTTTGTTCTCAGAGTTTATTATATTTATGATATTTGTTATATCGCTTTATTTTTGTTAAGAATAATAAGCATTTACAAAATATAAAATGATATTTCGGTCACGTTTTCAAAAACCCCAAAAAACTTTGATTTCGTTGACTTAATACAGTTTTCTCCAAAAAATATAATCTATTTTTTCCGAATTGTCGATGAAAGGTGAATTAAAACAAACAAATGACTCAAAAAGGCATTTATTTCTAAACATTATTGACATTTAGGTTAACACAATTCTAAAATTTAATTTAGAGGTCATAAAAAACATTTTCAAAAAACCATTAATACAGAGGATCGTAAAAATGGAATTTTAAATCCTTTTTTTGATTCTCATTAATTGTGCCTTTTGAATTATACGCTTTTCTAAGTTTCACTTCTGCTGGCAAAGAATGAAGAAAGAATGATGCCGCAGATCTAGATTTTCTCGTTTTTTTTTTTTTTTGTTTAACACACTTCCATTGGCTATCCGAATATGACTGTTTATAAAAATACCTGAAAGGCTGTTGCTTTTCTACTTTTACAATTTTAATCTGGGATAAGTAAACCTGTTCATTTTCAACATTTTTATCGAAATTATTACCTATATCTGTTGTTAATTGTTGCATCTATAAAGTCTTTGTGTGTTAATTATTTTCTTTCTTTAAGTTTCGGAAGTTTTCGAGAACAGTTTTATAGGAAAAAAAAACCTTTCTCAATTGTTGAATGTGTGCTGTCTCCTTCATTTTGCGTGTGTCGGGCAATAAGGAATTTATGAGAAATGCTCTTTATTTTGAGTTGTACAAGTACTCATACATTAAAAGAGCAGTTATGTATCTGAAACAAAATAAACACCGTTTAATGTTTATTTGTTCACAAAATTAAAAGTACTTACTTGTTTTTATTCTGAGCTCTGCAGTTATCACTATAAAAAGTAATTTCCAAGTCTTCCTTATTGACGGTATTTGCCTTCTGTTCTAAGTACTTAAAAATGCAAGACGTTACTTCAGTAGCACCAGGAGCAAAAGAGTAACCTTTCTCTTTTAAGTTAAGAAAAATTTAACTTTTTTACTGTAAAAATGTATTAAGAACTTATACCACCTTTTTCAAATTTAAAATTTCATATTATAAAAAAATTATTTGATAAAAAAAGGTATCAATCTAGGATAATACTACCCACGAGCGAACATAATTGAAGAATAACGAATTATCCTCATATAATACACCTATCCATAAAAAACAATAGAATTTTCTTACCTTGACAATTGAAGGAAAAGCGTATCAAAGAGAAATAATACGCTTTTGTTTCGAAAAATTATAAGAAATTTATATCGCACAGTACACAATTTTAATACTTAATACACTTTTCTTCGGAAAATCAGAAAATCCGGCGTAGTACGCCGAAATAATACTGTTTTCAACTGGCGACCAACACAATTTTGACAATATGACGTTTTACCTAGCGCCATCTAGTGCATAAAACAAAATGAGAGCTTTGTTGGCTTGTTAGGGTAAAGTAGAACCCTAAAAAGTGTTGTTTTTGGCAAAACATGAAAAATTGTAATTTTACGACTTAATACGGTTTTCTTCGGGATGTGCGATATCACAGAGGAAGCTGCGCTCCGTGGGTAATGGAGGACATACAGGGATAACCCATCACTCACCAATTTCCTCAATATTCTAGACATTAGCAGTGGTGCAGTAACAATATTACGAAAATCAAAGTTTAACGGAAAAATTCAATGTTCTGTATTTATACACTGCACCAAAACTGCAGAAATCTCCTGCCAATACAAAATATTATACCTACTTATTTTTAGTGTCTTTCAAAACAGTTATTAATTTGATTCTAATCAGGAATAGATCGTTTGACCAGTTAAATAAAATAAGCTGACAATATTCATATAATAAACTTAACCATAGCGTTTGAAAATGTAATGACGTCACGTGAAGAATTACGAAACTTACCTGCGGAAATTTTGACATTTTCTTGTGCAAGTAGTTTATGTTATTGGGATAGGTACTTTTTAAGGCATGCTTGTGTAAATTCAAACATGTTTATAAATGAATATTAAAAATATTGACAATATAACAAATATTGACCTGTTGGAACAAAAACAGATAATTCAAAGTATAGCAGTATAAAGTATTTGATTTTTCTCCTGCATGTGAATCTGATATTCTTTAAAAAAATCTTCATGCAATGAACTAGTGCCTCGCGCATAAATCCATTGATTTTCCTTTTCAATGAAGCAATTTTCAATGGCGTTTTTCCTGACAATTTGAAAATATTTCGGATTATGGCGGTTTATAAAAAGGGCCATCACAACGACGCAGATAGAGTTCGCCAAACAGCATACCGTTTTTACAACCTTTTATGGTTTTGACTTGGGAATGAATTTAAGACCTGCCTATTGTTAAACGGAAGGGGCCATTCCTTTCAGCACGTGTACCTCAAGCCAGGGCCTTATTTAAGATGTTAACCGACAAGAACTGTGCCGTGCGGACTGTTGTATTTTGAGAGTACTGAAATTTTCTTTGATTAAATTTATATTAATTCATATTATTGTCCTTTTTACAAATCTTCCTAAAACAGTCCCTACTTGAGGTAGTTTAATTTGCCGATTAGATAGATTGATCTCCTATATTAAAAACACAATATAAAGCTTAAACTGATTTCCAATTTCCGAGTTTAATGACTCTAAAATATTTTGTAGATAATCGATTTATAATGGATGTCTTTCCAGTTTGCTATTGGTTTATTTGTGGTAGTTGATGAAATGGGAGCATGCTGTCAGTTTGATGAAACAGTAATTTCTTAGCTCTCGAAACTTTGGAGTTATTTCTATTCCGTCTTTTGTTTGTAATTAATAATTACCAACTTACTGTTATTCAATTGTTTTTCAATACTCGGTGTGCCATTTTTATTGAGGCACCATATACATTTTGTTACAATTTATTTATTACCAAATACTAACAGTATTCAATTTTGTTAGTCACTCGCGTTAGTGTCCAGCGACGAAAAAGTTGAGATTGTGGTAATTGTCGTTGATGATGAACATCCGTCAAATTCAAATGGACATGGACATATTTGCCGGTTGCTGCCAAAATTATAATTTTAAATGCGTTCCTGTTTCTGAAATCGACATCTGGGGAAAGTGTAGCTATAAAATTAACTCCCGAGATGACTAAAACACCCTATGCCACAGCACGTGACATAGTTGTGAATGGTGTCCAAGAAATAAAAACACGTAAAGATCGTGGGGTCCCAAAAAGTCTACTTGACATGCACCATACCGGAATAGTTGATATATGATAAATTCGTGCTAAAAACGTCACCATCAGGTATTTAGATGAGGCCTGGTTTGATAGCCACGATACCGTCTAGAAAGGATGGACTGATGGTAACAGCGGAAAATATTCTCTGGATGTGGCAATTTCGCGGAGCAAACGAATTATCATACTACATGCGGGCTCTGAAGTTGTTTGGGTAGATACCGCTTTGTTGTTGTCTGCAATACATGTCAAAGAAGCAACCACGAAAACATGACAGCAGACATCTTTGAAAAAATGCTTCCCAATATTCCACCAAACAGTGTCGTGATGGTCAATGCCAGCTACCATTCTGCACAAGTGGAAAAAATACCGAATTCATCATCGACTAAAGAAGTCATCAAAATTTTTTGCTTGAAAATGATATATATATATATATATATATATATATATATATATATATATATATATATATATATATATATATATTTTGTTTCTTATACTTTATCTCTTTTTTGTTTAATCAGACTAAGTGAAAATGGGATATTTGATTAACTAATTCTACGTGCTACAGCAATCTAGTTTAGTCTAATGTTGTTAATGTCCATGGATTATCTAAAATCTAGACTAGACCAAATTTTTTTCACTTTGTATTTTCATCATTTTATCGCTACACTAAAAATAAATAGTACTACTACAAATAATCTTGTTAGCTGTATAATGGAAATTGAAATCTACTAATCAAAATCATTCCTATTATTATTATTAATATTCTTACAGAAGCTGCTGCCAATGAAAGGTTTTCTTAGCACCAGGAGATAAGACTAGGGTATTATCGACAGGGGCGTGCAAATGTACCTACCATCTATACAATGTTATTAAAATTGGCGAAGTTAGGCGTAATCACAGACATAACCATTCACGAACCATAAAAGAATCCTATCGTTTTTATGCAGAGAGTAATATGGTGCTCAATGTCACCAACACATATTTTAACCTAACAAATATGCAACTGCATTCACAAATTTTTCCATTTTTCTTAAAAGTGAGTATATTAACTTGTACAGGAAAATAAGTATAGAACAAAGGAAGTTATATATATTGTAGAAAATACTATTTTTAAAAGTTGTGTTTATTGTAGAGAGTGTCTCATATTGGTATATAAAATACACATTTCAAAGTTTTGTTAAAATTATTTTTGTAACAAGAATTAAAAAAAAAATCCTTTCTTGCGCGGATATTTAGAAGCTTAATATTCTCCTTAAATAAGAACAAAATTGCTTTCGCAAGTTGCTAAACTTCACTCATTTTTTCGACCAACATAAATTTTTCAGTTGGCAACAGAAAAAATGCCAAAAAAATTAACAAGTCGCTGGAATTTCTGAAATTGGTGCAAATCGGTTGGATGCAATTAATTGGTCCCCGAAAATGCATCATCGGTTGACGTCCCGGGATGGGCAACTTTCGATGTTATTATTGAATGAAAAATCTACCGCCGCCCATGCCTCAGATCTGCGTACGACCTGGCTTATATCTCTTATATCTTCGTTATTTCTACAAACTTACCATGCGAAGATATGGATGGGTGAGGTGCCGAGATAACGTGACAGTTAGAACAAAGTAAAATTTATCTCTTGTAGGTGCTTCAGTTTTTTTTCTAAATAGGTGGTTTTTGTGCAGAACACATGGCGTGTTTTAGTCAATATTTGGGTGGTAGTATCCTTAAGTAGTGTCATTAATTAATCCTAACAAATTGCCTCTAGTACGGGGGTTTGTTTGTTTTTGTATTTTTTTCTTCCGTGCCAAATGCGAAACAAATTTACCAAATGCGATTAGGAGTAACTAGAAATTTGAGTCAATCGTATAAAATAGAATTTAAATTAAAATTTGATATTTCCTTCTGTAATTTCAACAGCATTTTAAAGCAGAAACATTTTCAGACCTTTAACCTACTTAATTATTGGACAAAATTTAGGAGCCAACATATAAATTCGTTAATTAAAAGCTAATTATCTTCTCCCGCCTTCTATTATCCTATTTCAAAAAATATTACATTCTTGTTAAACAGAAATAAATCATGCATCTCGCTGCTTATATTAATTCTATTAATTAATTAACAATTGACTGTTTAAAAAAAAAAGTAATTTTAACAGCATTTCAGAGACGTCCTCTATATGGTATATGGAGTGTTATTAATATCTTTAACCAGGCACCTACTTAAATTATCGGAAAGGTCACTCTGTAAATCTGTTAAGCATCGAGCAAGCAAAAATAATTTGATTTTTTTATTAGAAAAACTTGAGTAGTCCTAAAAGGTATGAAATCGCATATGAACTTAAATTTCATGGCAATAAAACTGAATAAAATCAGACTTTGTAGCAATAATGCTTCATATTTGTACAGGGTTGTTCAAAAAATGCACCAACACTGGGCTGGGGATTCGTCATCCAAGCAAAAGAAAAAATTTCGAATAAACGTAAATCGGGAAATGTTTAAGTTCCAAGATTTGACGATTAGATATTGAAAAAAAAAGAGACCTGTGTAAAATAGTAAAGTCGCACTATAAGTGAATCTTTTATTCTAGCACCCAGAATTTGAATTGTTCAGTTTTATTCAGATGTAAAGAAATGTTTTTAAATTTGCTGATAATACGAAGGTATATATTTGTGCAGAAATTTATTGAAATATTTTGCAAATTTTTTAAAGACCTTTTGCCAATCGTCCTTTTGGCTTGACGAAGGCTCAGAGAACCTGAAAGAAGGAAGGAAGAAAGGAATCAATCATCCGGGACAATGTTCATGCCCCTTCTTTAGTTAGAATGCGAGCCAGTTTCAGTTAAGCAGTGAAGAAGCCAACAGGATGATTGGCGGAAAATCAGCAAGTTTAATTTATTGACAATCGACGCAGGAGGCATCCAGAAAATTTGTAAATAGTATAACATTTGACTGTATTGTCTTGTAGAGGTTTGTGTAATAAAATGCAAATATCTCCAAAACTCTATCATAATTTTCTAAAACAAGACTATCAGACAGAACAAATAGCTATCCAAAACAGCGAGATGTAACTAGAACTACATTTCTAAAAAATGTATTAGTCTTTTTCTCCAAAAACTCCCGAGTCCAAGTTTTCAGGTCGATATAAAGCATA